ACTTGTGAACCTCATGGTGTTTAAAATAACTCAGTTGTGTATCTGTCAGTTAGTTAAGGTATTTTAAAAATTCAGTTTAAACTAAAAGAAGAAACAGTTCATCCATTTCTCCCACTCCCCTCATCTCTGGCAGCCACCAAATGTTGCCTGTATCTGTGAGCTTAGGGGCTTTTTTAAATACATACTTTTTTAGATTTTACACATAAAAGAGATCGCACAAGGTATCACTTAAAGTATTTCGGCGTATTTTTAAAGCAGGATAAGTTTTAATGGATTCTTACTGCCTCTGTCTAGACTACTAGTCCGCAGAGCTACACCTACTTAGAGATGCAGCAGAAAGCCACACTGGTTCTGATAAAATCACAGTGTGGCGAGTTAATGAAACAGATCGTGAAGAGACAATATTAGGAAAGTACCTTAAGGAATAATGACTGCTTTTGCTGGCCTTGATACATACCATGTCTGTGTAGTAACCTTGTGTGTGTATCACAGATACATTCTGTGTAAGCCTTAAGGCACTGACAAAAAGGAGGGACCCATGAGAGAAATATGTGAAGTGGGTTAGAAAAAAAAGGCATTTTCAACTTTTTGTTTTGGACTTGCTAGTATGATAAACTAAAGTAAATCTTTCTTCTTTGTATTTTAGTACTGCTGGCGGTGGACAGGTTTTAACTTCGGCTTTGATCTGCTTGTAACTTACACCAATCGATACATCATTTTCAAGCGCAATACCCTGAATCAGCCGTGCAGTGGGTCTGTCAGCTTACAGCCTCGAAGGAGCATAGCATTTAGGTAGGATGCGATCTTCCCACCCTCCTCTTCCTCACTCCAGAAGAACTATAAGAAATGAGTTAAAACCGTAAATTACACCAACGATACTAGAACTTTGGTAAGATACAAGTGACATGAACGTGCAAGGAGATGATAAGGCTCTACCCCTACGAAATGCATTAACTGTAAGTGCATCAAAACTCTGAGACCTGGAGCTCATGTGTCAGGAAGAAAGGGTAGGCTGCAGCATGAATGATACAGGATGGATGCTGTTCCTAGCAAATAAAAGGTCCAAACTGGAAATACAACATGGTATTTTGATAAGAAAACATGTCTGGTGTTATCCTGAATTTTTTATAGGATTCCATATGTCCACCTTTGCCTAGCAATTGAACTGGCAATGTTTTTCTGGAGAGGATGGTGACAAATTAGAAAATAGCTTAATGAACAGATTATTTAAAAGGCATACATTTGTATGTACCTTATACCTTATACAAAAATTAACTTAAAATGGATCAAAGACCTAAACATAAAAGCTAAAACCGTAAAATAACTCTTGGAAGAAAACATAAGAGAAAAACTTAGTAACATTGGATTTGACAGTGATGTCTTCAATGTGATACCAAAGCACAGGCACCACCAACAGCAAAAAGATAAATTGAACTTAGTCACAATTAAAAACTAGTGCGTCCCTCGGCGATAGCGGCGCTCAGGTTGTCCAGCGTTACCAGAAGAGGCCTCACCTGGATAGTCCTAGGGGCGCCACGCAGAGAATTTTGGTCTCAATTCAGAAAAGAGAAGCAGCCAGTGGTCGCTGAGACAGTAGAAGAGGTGAAGAAAGAACTTACCCTGTGTGTCCACCTTTATGAAGCCGAACATAACATGCCACCTGAAGATCTCTGGAGTCGTTTGGAATCTCATGTCAAAGAAGTTTTTGGCTCATCTGTTCCCTGCAGTTGGCAGGACATCTCCCTGGAAGATGTTCTTCTGAAGTTCAGTCTCTTGGCACGTGTGGCCGATGACTTGGGCCGTGCAGTGCCTGACTCCGGGCTTCACCTGATGTGCAGGGTCAGAGATGTTCTTCATTTCTATTATGTGCCTGTTCGGGGTAGATCTAAATTTGATGAACTTATTGCCAGTAATCTGCCTCCCAATTTAAAAATCACTTGGGGGTCACTGAGTAGTTCAGAAGAGGAGTAAACACATTGGAATCACTTTTTTCCCCTGAAAAGGGAGCTGTTTATCAGACTTTTTGATACTTTTGCATGTGAAATGCTGTCAGAACTGTTCTTTAAACCCACCCTTCTTGTGGAAGAATGTATTCTCTCTCTTTTTTTTATCATCATGAATTGAAAAATAACAGGGTTTTCTCTTTTCGCATTTGCTGAAACTTTTTTCTTTTTTTAATGGAACTGTATCATTAATAATTTATGGAAATATTCTTTTCTGGAAGACACCATAATTAACTTGGGTTTAAGATATAAGGCTGTTACATGTTCAGATGTGGGTTTTATTCTTTTTTGTTTTATGTTGAAGTATAGTCAGTTTGCCATGTTGTGTCAGTTTCTGGTGTACAGCACAATGCTTGAGTCACACGTGGATATGCATATATTCATTTTCATATTCTTTTTCACCATAAGCTACTACAAGATGTTGAGTATGTTTCCCTGTGCTATACAGTAAGAAATGGGCTGTATTTCTGGCTCCGTCTTGTCTGGTTGCAGGAATTTGGGCAAGTTACTACAAACCTCTAATCCTCAGTTTCTTCATCTATTAAATAATAGTGTAGTGATACTACTTCATAAGGTTACTGTGAGAATGAAAGGAGATAGTAGAAGCCAGCAGCTTATTAGAGTTAACTGGAAACACTAAACATTCAATAAATCTGAGCAATTATTATTTAAAAAAAAAAACCAGTGCATCAAAGAACACTCAACAAAGTGAAAAGGCAACACGTGGAGTGGAAAAAAGTATTTGCTAACCATATATCTGATAAGGAGTTAATACCCAGAATATACAGAAAACTCCTAAAAGTCCACAACAAAAAAACAGTCTGATTCAAAAAATGGGCAGAGGACTTAAATAAACACTAATCATTAGGGAAATGGAAATCAGAACCGCCTCACACCCATTAAGATGGCTAATATATCATAAACAAAACAAAAATGTTGGTGAAAATGTGGAGAAATTGAACCCTTGTGTATTGCTAGTAGGATTGTAAAATGGTGCATACTTTATGGGAAATGGTGTGGCACTTCCTCAAAAAATTAAACAATTAATTACCATATAACCCAGCAATTTCTCTTCTGGGTATTTGCCCAAAAGAATTGAAAGCAGAGACTCAAACAGACATTTGTACACATAGCAGCAGCATTCACGATAGCTAAAAGGTGGAAGCAACCTGAGTGTCGACAGATAAACAACATGTGGTGTATATACCTGTGATGGAATTATTATTCAGCCTTAAAATGAAAGGAAATTCTGACACATGCTACAACATGAGCCTTGAAGACATTATGCTAACTGAAATAAGCCAGTTAACAGAAGAGCAAATACTATATGATTCCACTCACATGAGGTACCTAGGCTAGGCAAGTTTACAGAGACAGACAGTAAGATGGTGACTGTCAGAGTCTGAGGTAAGTGGAAATGGGGAATTCTTGTTTACTTGGTACAGAATATCAGCTGAGGAAGAAGAAAAGTTTCTGGAGATGGATGGCTGGTGGTAATGACTACAGAACAATGTGAAATGTGTTTAATGCCAAGACCTGTACACTTAAAAACGGTAAAAATGGTACATTTTATGTATATTTTACCACACTAAAAGCATATTTATAAATTATTTTTTATATCTGAGATATGTATAATAGCACAAGCTTGTGGATCTGCATGGAATCAGTTTATAGTTTGGGAAGACTTTTTAAAGTCTTATCAAGTAAGAGACTATGGAGGGGAAAGTAAATGTTAAAGTGAGGTGTGGCTTATTTAAATGAATCTGGTTTAAAAATCATGTGTTTTTTTTCCTTTGTGTGTGTTTTTACTGTAGATTGCGTTTGGCCTCTTTTGATAGCAGCGGGAAACTGATATGCAGCAGGACAACTGGCTACCAAATCCTGACGCTCGAAAAGGACCAGGTGTGTTTGGTGACTTTCCTGTTCGTTTTTTCATCATCATATTTGCCTTTTGAATCTTCTTTTGAAAATTCTTAAGTAGTAGTAACATTTCATTTAAAGATTGGTTTGAAAGTGTTTTGAAGGTTAAGATGCAAGTACCGTGTTCACTTTGGCATAATTTACCCCCATCCTACCAGAAGTATAACTAAGACAGAAAAAAGGAAACACAATTTGATTTGAGGGGCAGGGAAAAGCTGACAATAGGGAAATAATTGTCCATCCTGAGCATGATCTTCAGAAAGTTCTGAATCTTAATTTTTTTATCCACTGTGTTCATGAAAGTATTTGTCTACACATTAATAGCAGATGCCTTAAAGACAGTCCAGTATGTCTCCATAGCTCCTGGATATTAAGAGATATTATCCTCATGCACAATAGGTTTCCAAAATGACAAACATCTGTAATGTTGCCAAAATTATCTCTAAAGCCGTTTATTTTTTCTTGTATCACATGCACATAGAAGTTTCAGAATGTCGTGATGAGAAAGTAAACCATTTTCAAAAAGTAAAATGAGAGCTGTCAAAATACTGAGAGTTTATTTCTATTAAAACTAACCAGCATTCCAAAGGACATACTGTTTTAATAAAGGGTTCAGAGCCTAAAGGTCACACAGATTGTGAGAAGTAGAGCAGTTTTCCTCAAACTGAAGAGACTCTCATAGAACATCAGAATTTAACATTGCAAGGAACCCTGGACGTGATGGTTCTAACATGACCTACCCTGTATGAGAAGCCCTTTAACAGCATTCTTACGAAGGGTCCTCCAGCCATTGTTGGATCTCTAGTGACCGAGAACTGACTCTCATGTGGTGGGCAGTATGTGAGAAGGTAGGTACACAATAGGAAAATTCAAATCCACCTCCATTAGAATTCTCTGTTGGTCCTTCTCACACCCTCTGGACCTGCATGAACAATGTCTGTCTTTACCTTCCACATGGAACTTCATTGAAAAATATTGTCATGGCTCAGAGTAGCCAGAGACTTAATTAAAAAGCACCAGGCCAAGATGATAGTTGCTTTCCAGGTGTTCCTTGATTTGTTCACTCAACATCTGTGTGCCTACTGCATGCTAGGTTGTATGCTAGGAGTGGAGGAGATAGAAAGGGGCATATGTTGTACAGCTAAGTAGATGAGAGAGATGAGCTCAGAGAGTTTGTGGCATCAAGGGAGAAGTCTCTGACCTTTACTCTGGGGTTGGGGAAAGAAGAGAAGGGAAGACAGATCAGGGAAAACCTCTTCTCCTAGACAAGTTGAAAAGTGAATGGATACCTGAACCAGGCCTCAAATGATGAGTAAGACAGCCAAGGAGCACAGAGGTCATTCAAAGAACTGAGGTTTGGAAGAGGAACAGTTCAGTAGGGGTAGAGCCTGGGCAGGGCGGGCTGGGGATGGAGTTCTTCCTGAGATCTGTAGAGAGCTGTGGAAGGATTTTAGTTGGGTTGTATATGTGTGTTTTACGTAAGTTATAGATGTTACAGAAAAAAAAGAAAACAGAAATAAGCAGGGGGAAAAAAGTCATACATAGTCCACTGAGAGGTGGCACCACTGACATCTTTTTCTTCACCTCTATCTTTTTCTTCCAAAGATGGTATCTCACTGTTAACTATTTTGTAACCTGCTTTTTTTCCACTTTGTCGTATATAACTTTTCTTGTCAGTAAATATATATCCACAACATCATTTTTTTACCACGTAATAGTCATTTCAGATATACCATAATTTAAATAATTCTTGTTTTAAAGATGAATTCCAGCAAGTGAAAGTCTTGTCAAGTGGTGTATACACCTTCTAATGGCCAATTGCCCTCCAGAAATACTGTCCAAACTTACACTCCCTCCTGTAGTGCAGGAGAATATATGCAGCCTAGTGTTCTTTCTAATCCTTCTCCTAATATAATAAGTGGAAACAAATCATTTGTTCTGATTTTCATTTGTTTGGTTTCTGATACAGCTGGGTTTTTTATATGCTTAGTGAACATACTGTGAAAACTGACCGTTCATAATTGTTTCTTTTTTTAATTATTTGTTTTCTTATTAATTTTAACAGCTTTTATATAAAGAATGATAACACTTAAAATATGCTCTACTTTTCCCAGTTTTGTCACTTGTCTTTCAACCTTCATGAAATAATCTGTGCCTTTAATGATTTCTTATTTTGATGTGATATTAGAGCCTTCTGCCTGGGGTTATATAGTTATCTGGGGGGTTTCTATTCTTTTTTTTTTTTTTTTTAATACAATTGGGTTCCATCGTGTGCTCACTGCCATCTTATCGCCCTCTCCACTTCCAGTACTGGCCCAACCATAATAAATGCCAGTGGATACATCAGCTGGAAGATTATCTACTACGTGTTCAGGAAAGTTAGCTGTAGGGTTGCCCAGCTGCTTGGGGTGCGGGCTGTGGCCTCGTCTGGGCGTTGGGCAGAGCCGCTGTCAAGGCGGTACCTGGACCAGCACAACATAATGTATTTTATGTTCCACCGGGACCTGCAGGGTGACGCCGACAACACGCCCTGGCGAGACCCTCACACCACCGACCCAACGGAAGGTGCCAGGCGACTGAGGCTGCGTCTCGGCCTTTTTTACTCCTTTCATTTAATTTTTTCATTGGAGTATTTTGATGATACATTTGAAGTGTATCATCAGTATATTTGAAATGCCATTTTTATCATATTCTAAGTTCTTATATACTTGGTTTCATTTCTGAGATTCCTGTTGTTTTACTAATTTTATTGTGGAGACAACAATACTTTGTTTTAGTTAGACTTACTTTAAAAAGGATTTTAATACCAGTAATGCAAGTTCACCTTCATTCCCCTCTTTTCAAAAATCCTGGGGCTCTTTGTGCGTGATTACTGTTCTCTATGGGGTGTCGAATGATTTTGTTGCGTTTCCTCTCAAAAAATCCTTTGAGAGTTTTGATTTATATTGTTAAATATATAAATATATTGTGGGAAATTGTTATCTTCCCTTCTAGAATATGGTATTGTCTACAATTAATTAGGTCTTGTGTCTCTCTAAAATTTAGATCCCCCCTCCATATTATTCCTATATGTGTCCTGGAAGTATAGTGCTAAGTATTTTATATTTTAATTGCTAATATAAAATGAATCTTTTTAATAATAATTTTTGATGACACATAGGAAAGCTAGTGATCTTTGTGTTTACTTTAGAACTGTCCCTCTCACAGGGCTATGCTAACTAGATTTGCTTTATAGAAGGATGTCTCAGAGATGTGTGAAAAGGATTATAGACATGATAATGGCAGGAAGACAAGGTAGACGGTGCTGTTATAATCCAGGTCAGAAGCTATGTCCACTTGAGCCTCCATCAGTCACTCAAATGTCCCAGTTTTAGTCTCTTCATTGCAGGAACACGTGCTTCAGTAAAAAATGTAAAGCTCTAGATTGAAAGAGCATTTAAAAGTATATTCTCCAAAATGTGTAACGGTGAAACTAATGTATATTATTTCAGAGAATGTATCCAAGTATTTAAAAAGTAGGAGTTCTCATTTCAGTGCTGTTGCTTATACTCTGAGGATTTATTCTGTTCACCAAATGCTGCTGGTAAAGGGTTCCAAACAGAGAGCTGTAGCATGAGTGAGCGATGGTTCCATTTGCAGCTCTCAGGTGTAGTATCAACTCCCATCTCTGTGGGATTCCAAGGCACTCTCATGTATATTGATGTAACTGAACTGAAATTGATTTTACATAATAATGTGTTTTATGTTCCAAGAGACAAATGACATGTTTGCATTAGAGCCAGTGGGAAATCTTAGACCAGAGTGGGAACCATGATAATAATAACTTCCCACCTTCATCCCAAGGATGTGCTATTACATAAAGACCATCAGACATTGAAGCCAAATGAGAAGTGTGTACTTCTGGACTGTGTCTACTCATGAAATAAGTAGGTACTTGATAGAATAGAATTTTTTCAATAATGAAAATAACTAGCATTTTTGATTACTTAGCGTATAGCTGGCTTTGCTGAGCCCTCTATGTGCTTTGTCTCATTTGATGCTCAGTATAATTCTATGAGGTAGATACTCTTTACTGGCCCCATTTACAGTGAGGAAGCTGCAGTTGATAAGGTCAGTGACTTGCCCAAGGTCACACAGCCAGCAGGTGGGAGTTATGAGATTTGAAGCAGTGATTCTCTGACACCAGATGCAAGCTTTTAACCACCATACTAACTTGCAGTTCACTCAGTTCAACCATTTGTTTCTGTGTTTAATTTTCTATAATATTACCATTATCATTAAAGCTACAAATTTGTCTTATAGGAACAAGTAGTGATGAACTTGGACAGCAGGCTTCTGATCTTCCCTTTATATATTTGCTGTAACTTCCTATATATATCTCCAGAAAAAAAAGCTGAAAATAATCATCATCCGGAAAATCCAGAAAACTGAGGATCTCATCAGTTGGAAACAGTAGCACTTTGAAAGCTTTTCTGGCCAGCTTTAATTTAATGGCCCTAAGGATTTCACATCTAAGGTGACTAACAATGTCAAAGGCCTTATGAACTGTACAGATAATACAGAAGACTCTTCTTATCCTCATTACATTTCTATGCATCTATGGAAAAACATTTTAAAGCCAAGAAAATATCTGTCAAACCATTTCTGTTATAAAAATGTCGACTCATGCTTTTAATTCAGCATCAGTAGAAAATTGCTGTAGGTAAATCTCACATTTCTCTGCGACCAAATATGAGTTTAATTCTTAGCTTGAACTTTGATCCTACCTAATGTTGGTGAACCTCAGTTATCCAGTCTGTAAGTTTTATTTTTATTTGGCTAAAAGAATGCTAAACAAATCATTTGAATGGCCAGTTATAAATGCTCTTTCATTGGTGCGTTTAAAGCTTTTAATTTTTTAGCTACTCTTTATGATTCCTCCTCCTAGTCAAAAATGTTTTTAATCATTAAATTTGTTTTCATGGTTTTGAAGACTCAGCTGAAGAACGTTTTATTTAACTTAAGCGTTTTCATGCTGTTTTATTTTGCTTTTTATTTAGCTTTCCTAGGATTTTAACAACAACAAAGTCAGCTTCAGACATTCAAATAAACTTGAATAGGGGAGAAAATCATTTTGACTTTGAGGCTATTGCTAGGCCTTACATGGTCTTTTTGACATTCTGTACAACTTTATTATTAGGTCATAGATTATTTATGTACCAAATATTACACTTTAAACATTATTATATTCTATGATCTTTATAATTATTTATGTTCAAATTTTGGTTGGGAATCTTATTTCCTACTTAAGCTCAGGACTTTATAACCTCTGAATTGAGTGCCTTTGAGTTACACATGCTGATAGAAATTTCGTAGTAAATGTAAATAAGGTTGGAGGATATCATACAGAAGCTGACAATAAAGCATTAATGTACAAATAGAATTATTTTTGTCAAAAATGAGATGTACATTTGTCATGATTTATGTATGTTGGCTTCTTGTGTTTACTGCTGTTTTGAAAATAGCCATGCTCATCGTCTTCCCAGTCAGAGTGAGTACTTTTTGTGATTAATATATATTTTTAGTATGTTTATGAAGTGGGAATTACTTTTATGTGTCTGTACAAATAATAAATATCCATTTGGAAGAAGAATAAATGAGCTATATAAAATGAACCAAAAAAAAAAAAAACAACTTAGTTGAAACCAGAATTTTTTTCAAGTTGGATTTTCTCCAATTAGATTTAACTTTTAGAATTTATTGCTAGTTTTTCTTTCCTAGTGATATGTCCATAGATTCATAAATCATCACTCTTTTCAAAATTCATCTTCATGGTGAATTTGAAGGCAGCTTTTAAAGGCCTCCCCCATATTCACTCCTAGGACTGTAGTTTAAATGTTTTTAATACAATAATTTGCTGTATCAAGAGGCTGCATTTCTTGTTTTTGTATTTGGCTATAATTATATCTCTTTTCCATGAGATGCTTTTGTTTTTTTCCCATCTTATAACATCAGAGGTTCCTTACCTTTATGTATTAAAGAATATAAGTACCAATCTTAAATTGAATTATTTGAATAACTGAATTTTTACATATCTTGGAAGTAAAGATAAAGTTTGAGTAAACTTGATTATTTCATTTCACTCATGTGAATTAATCACATTGGAATTACACACGCATGGTTCCTGTCCATTGGTTCTTTCCTGGCCAAATTGCGTGTCATTCACAAACAAATGAATTTACTTCTTCAGTCACAAGTAGGTTGTGTTCTCATTTGAGAAAATGGTCATTGTCAGCTAGTACTTTACATTGATAGTAAAGATCTGCTTTTGTTTTCTTACCAAATACTTTAATGTTTGCATACTTTTCTTTTTAATTGGAATATTTTCAATAAAATATTTAAAGTGCAGCGGAAGTATCATAAAAACTGTTATATGAAAGCTTTTGTGTTTGTCGGCTTCTGCCTTCTTTTTTTAAGTCTTTTTTTAAGCTGCAAGAGCTAGAAAACAGTATTTACCCACTAATAATTACTTTTATTTGGCTATCAGTAAAGGGAAGGTCCTTAAGAGAAAATGATCTAGAGTTCCATGCTGAATAATTAAAGAGGGATATGAGTGTACCTTTCCTTGAGGGGAGGGCAGTAATTAAGTTTATTTAATTTTTTTAAAATGGAGGTACTGGGGATTGAACCAGGACCTTGTGCATGCTAAGCATGTGCCCTACCCCTGAGCTATACCCTCCCTCCTATTTTTTTTTTTAAATAGATTTGGCTTGGAACTTAGCAAGGTAGGCAAAACTAAATGAACAATGGTAGTCACTCGCTTTCTTACCAAGTGTTTCGCAGCCAACACTTTATCACATTTCAAGTCTTTCAGTAGGCTTGATTGCCACTATTAGTGAACAATTTTCAACATCAAATGCAAAAATAGGGTTACCAAGAGTCATTGTGGCTATCTAAATTTAAGTTAATTAAAATTAAATAAAATTTAAAATGTACTTCCTCAAACACTAGATACATTGTAAGTGCTTAACCACATGTAACCAGTGACTACTGTATTGGGCAGTGCACATATAGAATATTTCAATCATTGCAAAATTCTATCAAACAGAGTTGATCTAGAATATTAGACTGTTAACACTGAAACTATGTCAGAAGTTATATTCCCTTAAAGATGAACCCATGTGAGCCAGGGGTGCAAGAGACGATAGATAACTTGCCAGTCACCTGAAATGACACGTTGAATCATAATTTCAAATGATATGTTGAATGTGGACCTAAGCCACTTGACTAAATTAAAAAACAGAGGTCATAGGACAGTTTCCTCCCAACCACAGAGATTCTTCCCAAGGTCCTTGTACAGGCATAAAAAAGCAAAACAGACAAACAAACAAAACTTCAAACATCATCAGCAACTGTTACCTAGTGGTCAGGCTACTTCGAGGGGGGAAATAACTGACTCAACACACGCATCCATTTGTAGTGATAAAGTAGGATACTTTTGTAAAGGCTGCTGAATTTATTTAAAATTGTCTTGCAAAAGGTAAAACAAAATTTAACCAAGGCTAGAGATGGTATATTTGCAGGGAAATAGAGGATTAATGTTGATTCTATGCTAAGTACATACATACTTTACAGTTCGCCTTTATTGAAAAATTACTATCTAGTTGGGGAGGAAACTTACAAACGTGATCACAAGTATTGACCGTACCCTTACCCTACCCTACAAAGAATCCATTAAAATGGCCATTAGAATGAGGGACCCTCAAACCATGTGTTGGAAACAGGGAGGATTTTTCTTCCAGATACAGTGAAGATGTACAGTGCTAGATAATCTACATCCTGAGAGAGGGCAACTTGATCAGTAAATAAAGCCCTGGGCGAACACAATTTTTATTACACATCTTAAAGGGGAAGGAGCCATTTGGAGATACACCATTTCTTTTCCTGGCTAAAGTTAATCTCAGGACTGTTCCTTTAGGAAATTTACTTCTTTGGTTTTTCTCTTTCTCTTCTGTACTTTACTCCCCTCAACCCCCCGCCATACTGACTCGTTTACACCAGTATTTAAATGTGCTTAAGTTTCTCCCATCTTCAAAAAACTTTACACATTTACTTCCCTCCATTGCATTTTGCCCTGCATCAGGCCGGACTTCTCAGGAGGGTTCTGCAAATTCTGTCTCCACTGCAAAAGCCATACATATACTCAATTCCGCTAAGACTTCCTGAGTCAACAGACTTTGTTGCTAAATCCTATAGGCTAGATGTGGTTTTTTCCATTACTTTTAATATTTAAAATTGACCGCTTTGTTCTGCTTAAAAAGCAGCCTCCTCTTAAAACTTCTCTGACCTCACACTCAGTTTTCCCCCTCTCATCAAGTCTCCACATTACCCAGTGTTCTCTAAATATACTCAGATGTGATTGCCTCCCATCCTCAAAACCCTTCAAAGGCTCTCTATTGTGTTTGCCTTAGGACTGCTGTCCACCATAGCTTACAAGGCTTCTAGCCTTGGCTTGACGTTTTCACTCCGTGCTCCCTAGGTGGCTGCCATACTTCTTTTCTTTAGTTCTCTGCTTTTAGCATGTCCTCTCCCATTGCCTCTTGCCCTGACACATGCAGTCTTCTCTGCCTGGACAATCTCTTCCACCTGTCCCCACCACAAAAGCCACCACGTTTCACCTGGCTAATTTCTGCTCATCTTTAAGGTCTTGTTTGGACATCGTTTCCTCCTGGAAACTTCTTGACAACCCTCCCCCTCAAACCAGTTAGGTCCTCGTTTTTTGAGCAATCATGATATCTTGCTCTTCCCCTATGAGTGCATCGTAACCCTGTTTACTTGTTTGTGTCCCTCACTGGATTGCAAGCTACTCAAGAGCAGACTTCTGTCTTTTTCACGGATTAGTCCTCTGGTACATAGGTGTGCAATAAATATTTGTATTAGTAATTGTGCATTAATTATGCCTTTTTAAGTTTTATTTCTGATGTTTTGACATCTGGAACTTTGCTGAGACTGCCCTTCCCAGGGCTCGCTATTTCCCAGAAATAGCAAATTACTCCCCTTCTGAGTGTGACTTTCATATGCAAACCAGACAGTGGAAAGCCCATACTCTCCAGCCACCTCCTTCATCAAACTCAATAGCCAAGGCATTATTCCTCTGCCCTAATGACCCCAGGGTCAGGTACCAACAGCTCTGGACATCCCCTACATCCCAAGGCCCGCTGAAATTATTCGAACTTACCAAGTTTATATCTGCTTTGCCTGCTTCCCTGCCTTTGCTCCTCCCTCCCACAAAACTCAATGAAAGCACTCATCCATGCTTTCTTTCCCCTTGCTCTCTCCGCCTCCTGACCCACACTCGTGTTTCCCCGTGTGGACTTAAACTGTTTGCGTATGCTATGTTTAGAATTGGTTTAATAAGAAATATTTTATGCATGTGGACAAGACAAATGGAAAGAAAAACGGGGGGAAATGAGAACTGTGTTAGGGTGGTTTATACATGGCTTTTTCCAGACATTTCTATAACATCAGGCAGTACATTTTAATGCCCACCGTGGACACAAATGATGGGGAAGCCATCGCGAAAGTGGGGCTGGAAGAGCAGAGAGAGTAGGTAACTCTGCCCTTAACGGAGTCTCTGGGCTTAGAAAAGGCAGCATCGGGGCGGGGCCGCTTGATTCTGGGCAAGCTCAGCGCCGCCCCCCTTCTTTAGAAGCCGGAACCCTGGCGAGTAGTTCCGACATTTTCCAGTCGGCGGTCAAAACGGATTCCAGGCCCTCCCGGAAGTTGTTGCACAGTCGTTTCCGGGGCGTGAGGTGGAGGAGGAATCCGAATGGGTCGCAGCCGCAGCCGTTCCCCGCGGAGGGGTGAGTCCAGAAACAGTTCTGAGGCTGTGGGCCTCGGTCGGAGACGCATCCCCAGCTTTTTTTTAATCTGTACAAGGGTGGCGGAGAGGGGGACCTTTTTATCCTGAGGAGAAGAGCGGGGTGGATCGGGAAACGAAGACGTGGGCCCTGCACGGCTTCAGCTCTCCAGTTTAAAGGCAGTTTTTCCCCCTAAATTAGGGTTTGGACGACTCTTTGTCAGCCTCATTCAGTAAATTTTGTTGTACGGTTCCCTCAGTTTCCGAGTGACCGTGTGTAAGTCATCCAACCTTTCTTCGCCGAATTCCCGTAATTAGACATTGGAGGTAATACTACCCACCTTTAAAAACAAATGTGAACTAAGTGAGGTAAGTCAGAGAAAGACAGATGTCATATATCACTTATGTGTAGAATCTTTTTTAAAAAAATCATACAAATGAGCTTATTTACAAAACAGAAATAGACTCACAGACAGCAAACAAATTTACGGTTACCAGAGGAGAAAAAGGTTCGCGGCAGGGTTAAATTAGGAATTTGGGATTAGCAGATACAAACTACTATATATAAACAACAAGGACCTACTGTATAGCACAGGGAACTATGTTCAATATCCTGTAATAAAACAAAATGGGAAAGAATCTGAAAATATATATATGTATGTAGACAACTGAAATATAAGTGAATCACTTTACACACCTGAAACTAACACAAAATTGTAAATCAACTATAGTTTAATAAATAAAATTTTTTAGGAGGAGGGTATAGCTCAGTGGTAGAGCACATCCTTAGTATGCAGGAGGTCATGGGTTCAATCCCCAGAGCCTCCATCAAATAAATAATAAAAATTAATTAATTAATTAACGTAATTACTTACCCCTCTAAAAAATGAAAACTATTTTTTAAAAAAAATTTTTTAGCAGAACAAAAAATAATGTTAACAATATTGGCTCACCAATTGTAACAAATGTACCACACTAATGGAAGATGTTAATAACATGGAAGACTGAGATGGAGTGAGAGTCTATGGGAATTCATTGTAATACTAGCTCAATTTTTCTGTATATCTAAAACTGCCTTAAGTAAATATAGTTTGTTAATTTAATTTAAAAAAAACAAAACTAATGTCTGAAGTGATGCCACACTGCATAACCCTCAGCATGTGATGCTGTCTGGTTCTTAAATACTCAGTGTTTCCTTCCCAGTTTATAGTAGGAAAATCTCTATTCAGGAGTTGGCATCCAGGGAGTCACTTCATAACGTCTCTGGCCCCCAGCTCATAAAAGGGGCAGTGAAAAGTAGAGAACCCAGAACTTTGATTGGGAGATCTCACTTAGACCCTCGATTCTGCCACCTGGTTGGTTTTTTCACCTTCAACTAATCAAATTTGATCTTAAAAGTTAAATGAGCCCGCTGGCCACATATGGCTATTGAACACTTAAAATGTTCTCAGTCCGAATTGAGAAGTGCCATTTAAGTATAGAATACATGCCAGATTTACTTGATTTGGTACAGGGGAAGAAAAGGAATAAAACATCTCATTAATTTTTTTTATAATGAGTACATGTTGAAATGATAATGGTTTGGTATATTGGGTCAAATAACATACACTGTTAAAATTAATTTCATCTGTTTCTTTTCACTCTTTTAGTGTGACAATTAGAAATGGCTCGAATTACATTTCTGTTAGACGGGGCAGCCCTAGATGTTTGAGATAATTTTCGGCTCTGCAATTTTGTGTGTTTTTGTGTTAGAACGTAGGCGGTCCCGGTCCACATCCCGGGAGAGAGAACGCAGGCGCCGAGAGAGGTCCCGGTCCCGAGAGAGAGATCGGAGAAGAAGCCGCTCTCGATCCCCACACAGAAGACGATCCAGGTAAGTGCAAAAAATAACCAGAAATTTTTCCAGAAGTCTCAAAGCAGCTACGCAGTCACTGTCCTTAACTTTGTTTTTATCACTAGTAAAGAGATTTACAATTTCATGAAATGAGGGTAATGTAATCCCACTTTATTCCAACCCTAACATTCCCGTTGGTAAAATAACATTACCATATCAGAAAATGATTGGTCAGTAACACTCTACATAGTAGAGTTGCCTTAAAGAGTAAATAAGAAATAAGACATGAAAAGCACTTAGCTTGGCAAGAGTAAAACAATAAGTGTTTTGTATTTTCCTCTTTGCTTTTTATTAACTTTTGGTGCTAACAGTTTATTCAAGTATGTAATCAAGAATGTGAGATCTAGAAAGAATTTTAGAAATCGACTCTGATTCTTTTTCTTTTTTGAGCAGCATCTTTTATTTGTTTGTTTATGCTTCTATTTTATAATATCATTTTTAAATTGAAGTATAGTTGATGTACAGTATTATATGTTACAGGAACACAATATAGTAATTTACAATTTTTAAAGGTTATACTCCATTTATAGTTATTATAAAATATGCGCTGTATTTCCCATGTTGTACAGCCCATCCTTGTAGCTTATTTTATACCTGATAGTTTGTACCTCTTGATCCTCGACCTCCATCTTGTCCCTCCCTCTTCTCCCTCCCTCTTCCCTCTCCCCACTGGTAACCACTAGTTCCTTCTCTGCATCTGTGAGCCTGTTTCTTTTCTGCTATATTCACAAGTTTGTTGTATTTTTTAGAATCCACGTGTAAGTGTGGACTCCGATTCTTAATAAGCATCAGACATACTTTGTGCATTTGTGTGCAGTTGTTAGAAACTTTCATTACTTTTTCTGCGCTACAAAAAAATCTTTTAGCCCTAACTATACTGAACGTAACTGATGATTAAAAGATAAATAATTTTTTGTTAATAATCAGGGCCTTGGCAGAACCTTCTTCCTCATTCATCTTTGGAGAACAAACTCCTGGTTCTCTAGAGCTTGGCTTTTGTTCAGCCTTTACCTTCCGGGTGTTCACGTATATCTGTGTTCATCAGCACAAGTCGTCAGGTATGCCTCTGTTTCTGACATCTTTACATATTAAATGTTAGATCCCCAAGACGACATAGATCCACATCTCCTTCCCCTTCTCGACTGAAAGAAAGAAGAGATGAGGAGAAGAAAGAAACAAAAGAACAAAGAGCAAAGAACGTCAGATTACTGGTAATGCTACTAGATAAATAACTATAGGAAGGGTATAGCCTTGTTTCAATAACTTCAGTAAAATAGCATTACCATAACAAAATAATTATATATAATAATATAAAATATAATAACATAAAATTATAAAGTATACTTTTTGAGCATTTAAGTATTACATTTTTTTGTAGTGTTTATAGTGTATGGTTTTGAGATTTTGTTTTAATTGTACCTTAGTTGCTGGTTATCTAGTGCTCCTGATATGGAAAGGACAGTTTAAAACATGAGAATATTCTACTTTGAAAGTATCTTCAAAACTAGTTTCATGTCTGATGTTAGAGGTGGGCCTGCCTCAAGGCTCCAAGCCTGTCATTTTTAGCCGTCTCTTAACGGAGGATGGAGAGCACAATCCTTCCTTGCACCTAAAGTTACATTCTGTCCAAATTGAAGAGTTTCTTTCATTAAACTCAAGTCTTTAGCTAATTATTTTGTATATTCTCTGCTGATAAGGTGGAATGACTATTATTCTATTATCACCTCTTTTTATGTATATAGAAGGACAATGTTTAAAAATTTATCACTTATTGTTGTAGAGGAAGACTTAGAGGGCAAAACCGAAGAAGAAATAGAAATGATGAAGTTAATGGGGTTTGCCTCCTTTGACTCCACAAAGGTAAGTGAAACATGTAGCCAGTGAAGTATTCTTATTTGAATTAATCTATCATGACCATCCCATTTTTCCCTGTTTTTTTTTTTATTATCACTTGTAATTTCTTCCACTGATACAAATTTATGCAGTTCGAAAGTAGTAACTATTTGTGTGAAGGGATCCAAAAGCAAAGGGAAGGAAGTGGTGAGCAGCCATTGGAACTCAGAGAGTATTTGCCTGGGATGTTTGAGTTCGATCTTAAAGGGCCAGTAGAGTTGGTCAGACAAAGAAGAGGAAGAAGATCATTTGAAGTAGAAGGAAGAGCTCATGAAAATGCCATGTGGGCATGAATATGCCATAGTGTATGGTGGGAATTTCAAATTCAGTGACTAGGGAAAGGGTGCTGATGGGCTGGTGACTACGACTAAGGCTAGAAATAGAGGTGGGAGGCAAATCACAAGGCTTTCGAAACCCTTAGCCATGCTGAGGAATTTAGAGTTGATTCTTTAGGTGATGAGGAGAGGAAGCAATGATTTTTAAGCAAGGAAGTGACAGATTATATGTGTGTTTTAGAGTGATGACCTGGAGCATCGTGGAGGACAAGTGGGAGGCTGGGAGAACTGCCGAACTGTGCAGTGAAAGTGGTGAAGGCCTGAACTGAGAAGAGGGGCTGGAATATTGAGGACCATCAGGAGCCAGAGTTAGTGGTGGTGGGAGTACAGGTGAGCAGTCAGTGATGACTCTGAGGTGTCAGGCTGAAAGATGTGGTTAATCAAGCAAGGATTATAGGAAAGGGAAGTGCTGTGAAACAGAAAGAAATGCAGCTGCCAGATAAAGACGGCCTTGCGTAGCTGCATACGTATGTCCTAGCTCAGAAGAGGGGTTGAAGGAAGGGTGAATAGTCTCTAGCCCTGATCATAATATTGGAGTGAATAAGGAAGGGAGGGAGGGTTTGTGGAGAGGGAGCTGAAGAGAGCGATTAGAGGGAGGGAAGTGGGAGCGAGATAGGGAGATGGGGGAGAAAGAGGAATAGGGCAAAGGAAAGACCTGGAGAAAGAGGAAACTGAAAAAGAGAAGGGAAGGTAGAGAGGAAGCTAGTAAGGATAGACAGGGAGAGTGTGTGCAGAGAGAGAAAATAGAATTTTAAAGCTTTCTTTTATAGAATTTTAAGTCCATTTAATTTTGCAAATGGAAATTGAAATTTTTGAGGCAAGTTGTCAAAAATAATCCACTGCCCCTAATATTGTATGCCATTGAGTTGTGAATGAAGTAGGGTAACATCAGACGCTGTAAGAGTTTCTTTCTAACTGATGTGATTGTGTAGGGCTTGCATGGTTTTTGTTTTTGTTTTTAATGACAGTGTATGACCTAAGAGGAGTACCGAGGCACAACTAACGTTTTGAGGTGAGAAAATTAAGAATGAGCTCTTGTTCTCACAAATGGTTATGTGAATCCCATTTTAGAATTTAATACAGTTTATGTATCAGGGGTTTTTCATTGAATATACCAAATCCTTATATGTTATTCCAAGAGTATTTTATAAATGAACTGGTTTATTAATACACATATTAGGTGAATAAAAATATCTCCAAAATAAGACAACTAAATTTTATTATTTTTCGAAGAATAGGGGAGGACCTTATTAGAATTCTTTTCTTTTCTTTTTTGGTTTTACCATTGCCTGATGTTATGTTTGAAATTCTTGAGAAGCAGATGTAAAGATGAAGCTACACTACACTTTTAAATGTAGTCTGTGCTGAAGATGTTTGTTTATAAAGGAAAAATTAGGTGAGGATTTATAGATCCCATTAAAATTATGGAGTACCATGATAATTGATGTCGGTTGTTTTTTTAATGGCATCTGCAAGGATGTTAATTTAATTTGTATGCAGTTGGCTTCATGACTATGAGTTATAGAATTTCTAGCTCATTTGTATTTTTTGGTAATGTGTAACTGGTGATAGTTCACCATTTACCTATAGTGGAACCTGTTCATATGTCAATGTAGTCACTTTTTTTCCCTTCTATTTTGACATTCTAGAAAGTTTCAAAGTTTGCTTCTGTTTATTAATGGATAATTTTCTATCCCAGCATGTAAATGAGAATAGGGCTAATAATATACAACTCTGCAAATAGTTTTCAAAAATCAGTAAGCCTTTAGGAATTGAACTTCAGGAATTTACCCAGTATTCCCCTCTCCCCCAAAATACATTGAAAACAGAAACAGAAAAGGAAGACCAAATATATTTGTTTTAGCTTACCTTCAAATATGCACCTCACTTGTGCATGCCAGTGGGTAAGAATCTTTTTTTTGTGCTAACACAGGGATCTGATAGGTATGCTGCATGGATAGGGGGCACTCACTCCCATGGGTAATGCTGGGAGAGGGCTACCTGTGTGTACATGCATGTGACCGCATGATGTCATTAACCAGCAGTGGTCATATTTTTTTTTGTAACAATGCAATACACATTTATTTAATACATCAATTTTAAATAGACCTTGTATGATGAATAAAGTTTAGAGATATGAATGAGAAAAAAAAGATTTTATTTCCCAAGCCCTTTAAGTGTTTTTTTCTGACAGATTAATAAAGAATATTCATACAAGAAAAGTTTTTTTTCAGTTTGATTAGGTAGAATTGTTACAGTTTGACTGCACATATACGATATACTGCATGTAAATACATATACACAATATACTACACCTTTTTTTAATTTGTGTGTATGTACTGCTCATTGTTTCTAAGAATGTTTAGAGCTTTCACTTTTTAAACTTACATAGTTATCAAAGGAATAAAGCCAACCACAAAATAAGAATTAATTCAAGGAGATACATACACCCCACTATTACAGTGTTCATACTTGTAACAGTCACTTTCTGAGCACCTGCAAATGCAGTAGCCTAGGACGTGAGAATGCAAAGGTCACTCACACCCGTATCCCTCCATCAAGCTCTGTACGAGTTTGCCGTCTCGTGGGAAATTGCATTGTGTGTATACATTGTGATGACGCAGAGTGGAAAGTGGAGGGTGTTGTGAGGAGAGCACAGTTAACATCCTGTGGGAGTCAGAGAAGATGGCGCTTCCTGGCAGCTGGATCATTTGATTTGGGCCTTGAAGGATGGATAAGAACCAGATGGTTGAAGATTGGACGGGGGCGGGGGGGGTGCAATTCAGGCACAAGGAACAGAAAGTGGTGAGTTTACTTGGGTGAATCAAAAGACCCATAAAGGAATGAATGAAATAGAAAGTCCGAGATACAAGTGACACTACATTAGTGGCTGTTATTTTGTACTCTGATTCTTGATTTAAAAATCAAAATTGCAAGGCCTGTGCAAGAAATGGGATTTAGCTATGAATGGTGACTGATTTGAGCATGCCATGAGCTAAGGTCATAAGTTAAATTTTTGTGAATGAATTTTTCTAGGGAAAATATCCCATAACTTGTATTTGGTTTTGAAGAATTCTTTGACCAGAAAAGGTGAGGATCTGCTACCCTACTTCACAGCATGCCTTGTACATAATACATATACCCTCAGTGTCTATTGGTTTGAATATTGGTTTAATTGCTTATGTGTGACTATGAAAATGTGAACAGAGCTATAATGCTTGGGAGCTCATGGGATATCATCAGTATCTGAAAATTCTCTCATTCTGGACCTCATTCTTAAATAAATCTTGCTGCTTAAGTGTGTCTGTGGGATCCAGCTCTGAAAAGGTACTTAATATATCCTTTCTCTTGTTTTTTTTTTTTAATTGCTTTTCTCCAGGGAAAAAAGGTGGATGGCTCTGTAAACGCCTATGCCATAAACGTGTCTCAGAAGAGGAAGTATAGGTATGCAATAGCTGCCATTATGATGTTTGAACTAATATAAATTATGTGCTTGGGAAAGAATTTGTTGTGGGATAATCATGTTTGTAGGAAATGTAGCAGTTTTCTGTACAGTCCCTTACTTTAATATTTTACGTAGTGTTCTTTATTTTAATCTTCCTTGCTTATAGTCTGGCATGTTAAAATAATTTCAAATTCATATGTGAGCTAGTAACAATTACAGAGAAAAGGTAGTTGGCTTAAATGTTTTAGGGCTGTAGGTGGTTCTTTCTTCAAAATAGCATAATCTCAAGTCTTTAAGCTTTAATTTCACTTAATTGTTTCTAAAATAGATCCCTCCTGAATTCTTTACCTAGTTTGATTGTGTAAGTAATTCAGCAGTAAGTCTCCTTCTGGTAAGTATAGGCATATTAACATGTTGATCGCCACATCACCCTAAACCAAGTGACAGTTGTTATTTCCCCAGAGGCACCCCGTCCGCAGTAGACAGTCAGTGTGTTAATACCACAGAACAAACCAGTCCATGCTTGAAATCTCACTGAATGAATGGAAAAGTCAAGACATCTTCAAACATTGCTTTCCTCTCTACCTTTATCACTGATAAAAGACTGATACTCCAATTAATTTAGAATATGAAGATTGTGGAGACTGCTGTGAGTTAAAGAACCAGAATTATCAACAGTTCTTCATAAAATTACCTTCAAATAAAGTCTTATGGGGAGAACTAGTACAGTATGAAATCAGATTTGCTTGATGGATGGGTACCTATTTTGAAACTCTTCTCCATTTCCTTAAACTATGTATTAAGTATTACCTAAAGTTAATACAGATTTTCAGCTGACTTTTTTTTAAAGTCTATAGAATCTTCCCAAATAATTTTGAAAGTATATTTCCATACTTCTATTTGGATTTTAACCTTGAATACTTCTTGCCCTAGACTTTGCCATTTTAAAGATGATTTATAGGTTAAATTTCTAAAGCATGTGATTATTTCTTTTATAAGAAGAGTCCAGAATTTTTTTTAATAAACAATAAATTTTCTTTTCTCATCGTAGGCAGTACATGAATCGAAAAGGTGGATTCAACAGACCTTTGGATTTCATTGCATGAGAATTGAAATGTTGAAGAATGATTTTTTTTCCCCCTCATCTTGATTAGGACAGTGGATTTTGTATTTTGTATTTAATATGCATCAAAAAATGGGATCACAGTCCTTCCTCCTTGTAAAGTAAGAAAATTTTATTTATGATGTGTGTACTTCAGTTACCCTGCCTCAAAAAAAGAAGGTTAAATGTTACTTTTTTTCCTGTAGGAAATACCACTTGGGGCAGTCATCAACCCCATTCCTTTGTTCTTATTCCTATGGAAGCTGCATATGTGTTCTTCTTGGATGCTCTTTAGGACTTTTTAAAACACATAAAAGTAATTTGGAAGTCAGTTTCTCAAATAAAGCAGTATTTCTACCCTTTTATATTTGATATTTTTATTATTAGATTAAAGAATCACCCTACACATTTTCTTTTTTCATATATAAATTTAGTATCATAATTCTTCATAGTTTAAAAATTAGAATGAAAAGTATAACTAGATTTTTGTATCTTCTGTGTTTTTTGCCCCCAAATACCATTTACTGTTTTCTCCCCAATTGAAAAGCAATACATGCTTATTAAAAACTGAGGGAAACCAGAAAATTTAAAAAAAAAGCCAAAAATCACTGTAATCTTCCCCCAGAAGTTAGTATTTTGGTGTCTGTGTTTCTAGGCTCCTCTCAGCATGTATTTCTTGCCCCTGCCCACAGAGATCAGAATGTTTATGCTGCTCTCTTTTGTTAATCCTTATTCTCCCATGTACTGTGAACATTTTTTAAATGCTCTTATAAATTCTTTGGAGACAGCTTTTAGTAGCTACTTGATTATACCATAATTTATTAATTAATCCTTTATTGGCAAATGTTGGCTTCCCTCCCATGACTTGCTGTTATAATTAAAACTATGAGTGTATTATTTAGGGGTAAAGGAAGAAACAAAACTGAGTGGTATCTCTGTTGCATGTATCTCTTTGTACTTGTTGCCTTATTTCCTCAGTCCAGTTGGGCGGCTGTGGCATTGCTGTGTGGGATAAAGGGTGTGTGTTCCACCCCTTGTGTGCACATAGTAAGGCTTATGACACACGTAGGCGGCTGGAAAGTGTGCGCATTCCCATTTCATACACATGTATCAATACTGAGCGTAAGTCTTTTTTTTTTAAGTTCCCAGTCTGATGGGTAAAACAATGGTATTTGATTCTGTTTGGTTCTAAGGGAGATGAACATTTTAAGAATGTGTTAGCCGTGTATATTTCTTTTGTGAAATACTAATTTCAAATCTTGGCTCCATTTATCTTTTAGCAAGCTTTTTTTCTTTTTTTTGAAGGAAGCTCTTTTTATATTGAAGATAATGACCATTACCCATTCTGTTTCATATCTCACTGATATTTGAGGCTTTGTGGTTAGTTTTGTTTTGTTTTGGTTTTAATTTTGATTTTTTTTTTTTAGATTTTAAATTTTGTGGGTTTTGTTATTAATATAAATATGTAGGACACAATTTAAACAGCACAGAGGGTATATAGTAATGAGCTAATTGTGTATCCTTTCAGAAATATTCCATATATACAGAAGCAGTAATACACATATTATTCAAATGTAAGCAAACTCTACACCCTGTTTTGCACCTAGTGTTTTTTCACTTATTACTGCATCTTAAGATTGTTCCTTATTGGCGTATGTAATATTACCTCTTTTTTTTTTAACCTCTTTTTTTTTTTAAAGGACAGCAATTATGGTTCGTTGTAGGATGGATTTATTTTAATTTATCCCCAGTTGATGGGCACTGAAATTTTTTCTAATCTTTTGCTATTTAAAAAAACTGTGTAATCACTATTCTTACAAGTATGTGACTTTAGAAGTGTCTTTAGCTGGAGTTTTCCATCCTTACTGCATCTGAAATTTGACCGTCTATTGTAGTTCTTTATGAGCTTTCCTGGCAAATTAGTTCCCTATAAAGAAAGTAATAATAGTACGACTGCACTGTAGTACAGAGCACCTTGGCTCATTTAATCCTTATACAGTAGAGCAGGTACTGTTATTTCCACTCCCAGATGACAAAGCTGAGGCTATTCAGACCATAGAGGCAGGAATTGTGGGTGTTTACACTGCCTGCTGCCTTCAGTACCTCAGTATCTCAGTGTGCTGTATCAGCTGCACAGCTGTGGTACCCATTGCACAGCGTCACTGCCCCCAAGAAATTGGATTATTTTGCTTAGACTATTTGCCAGTTCCCTTACCCCTACTCTTCAAAAAACTGTGAATCTGTAAATTACCCATGACAAGGACTGTTTCTGATCATCTGCACATCTAAGGAAAAGCAGGCCCAGTTGTTGTCTTACTGGAAAGCTAAAACTTCTGGGATAAAATAATAAGCCCAAAGTCAAATGATAGGTTTTTGGATTGCCAATTTAGTGTGGTGCCACTAGAGATTTGACCTGAGATCCTGAAAACAGCATGCTTTGTAAAGAAATAATCTGAGACTACCACGTAGATCAGTAGGTTCACTCTCCATGAGCTAACACCAGAGAAATGGAAGAGGAGGAAATCTTTAAAAATCCAGAGATAAGACCTCTCTGATCTTAAGAGAAGTCTTGGTTTGAAGGAACTTGTATCCATCAGGTCATTTGGTTCTGTAAGAACAACAAAGATGGAGCATCCTATCCTGTCTTCCTCTGACAGGCTGCTGCCCCTCAGAAGACGTAAATTGTGCCACATCTTCTGAGTGTCTGAATGTCAGAGTGCTCCGGGACGCAATGCCTGGACTGTCTAGTCTCTCTCCGGTGAGTCATCTACTCACATAGCTTCAAACATCTGCCATGGGCTCAAAACTGTACTTCTAGCCTAACTATTTTAAGTTGAATTCCAGGCTTCTATATGCACCTGGATTATTAGGCACCCCAAATTTAAAATTAATTGAACTCTCTTTTCCCTGCCCAGCCTTCTCTGAGGCTTCCCCATCTCAGTAAGTGGCCCCTGCATCCACTCCTCTGCTCAGACCAAAATCCTTAGGGTCATTTTGACTCCTTTCTTTCTCCTGTGCCCTACATTTAATTCATTAGAAATCCTTTTGGCTCTAACTTTAGAGTGTATTTTGAATCCAACCACTTTTCTTCCCCAGACTTATTGCCATATAGTTGGCATATAAAATTTTAAGATAGTTAAATTGTACATTGTGGTGATTTGATATACGTTGAATCTGACTACTTTTCACCACCTATCATAACAGAAGCCATCTCTCTTGCCCCGACAGCGGCCCCCCCAAGTAATGTCTCCTTCCTTCTCTTGCTGCCATAGTTTACTCTCCACCTGGCAGCAGAGTGAACCTTTTAAAATGTATGTCCGATCACATTGCTCCTGGCTCTGGTGGTTTTGTGTCTTCGAGAGTAAAGTCCAGTCCTTACTGTGGCCTACAAGTCTGTACAGTTTGGACCCTGGCTTCCTGCAGCCTCGCCCCCTTTCTGGTGCACTCAGCCACGCCTCCTTGCTGTTCCTTGAGAACAGGTACGCATCTTCCTCAAGAGTCTTCCTACTTGCTCTTCCTCCTGGAATGTTCCTCCTCCCTCCCAGCCCCTTTCCCCAACTTCCAGATTTGCATGGGTAGCTGCTTTGTGTTGTTCAGATCATTGCTCAAAATAGGGTCATTCCTGACCACCTTATCCAAAATAGCAGCCCCCCCTTTCCTCTTCTATCCCTTTACCCTGTTTCACTCTTTGTTTTTAAAACTCACCCTTTTAAAATCTATCATAATTTCAGTGGTTTAGTATATTTACAGATGTATGCATTTATCACCACTATTAATTCTAAAACATTTTCATCATCCCAAAATGAAACCCCATGCTCTATTAACAGTCACTCCTCTTCCCTCATCCACCTCTATCTTCCACCCCAGAAACCACTAAATGGACTTTCTTTCTCTAAAGATGTACCTATTTTGAACATTTTCATATAAGTGGACATTTCATATGAATGGAATCACACAATATGTGGCGTTTTGTGTCTGGCTTCTTTTGCTTAGTATAGTGTTTCCAAGGCTCATTCACATTGCAGCATATATCAGTGCTTCATCCCTTTTTATGGCTGAATAATACTCTGTTCTGTGGACATACCACATTTTTAATTATAATTCATCTATTGATGGGCATTTGGGTAGTTCCACTTTTTGGCTATTATGAATAATGCTGCTATGAACATTCAGATACAAGTCTTTGTATGAGCATATGTGTCTTGGGTATATAACTAGGAGTGACATTACTGGGTCATACAGTAACTCTGTTTAACTTTTTGAGGCACTGTCAAACTGTTTTCCAAAGCAGCTGCACAATTTTACATTCTCATCAGCAATGTATGAGGGTTCCAGTTTCTCCACATGCTCTGCAATTTCCTTTTCCTTATAGCTTATCACTGCCTGACACACTCTGTATTCGTTTATTACCGTCTGGTTCTTCCACTAGACTGAGTTTTCAGAAGTAGGGCTTCTGTCTTGTTTG